TATTATTATTATTATTATCCTTCTTGTATCATAATCATCATTATTTTTGGAAAAAAAAATATTTTTCCACAATCATAATTCGACAACAATAACAAAACAAAACAAAACAAAAAAATCAAAAACATTTACAGACAAATGACAACGGCGGTGGGTGAATGAAAAAAAAAAATGAAAAATTTCCCATGTTTATTTCATTGTAATGGTTTTGATTTTAAAATAACATTATCCTAAATAGATTCTTCGAGGGGAAAAAATTCAAAATAAAGTTCTTTGGTAAATGAATGAATAAATGAATGAGCGGACAACACCCATCATCGAATACTATTATATTCTATTGACTAATAATAATTATCAATGATACAATTAATGATTGAATGAATTGATGAAATACAAGTTGATCGAATCAATAATAATTTTCAGTTGAATATAACTATTGATCGACAAACTATAAATTAATCGATACATTTTGAATTGCAAAATTTATTAGAAAGAGAAAACAATGGGAGATGTATTTTTTTTTGGTTATGGGCTTGTTTTCAAATCATTGATCGAATTGTTTTTTGTTTCATTATTACACAAATCAACAATTCAAACGACAAACAATTTTATCATAGTAATATTGATGATAATGATGATGATGATGATGATCGACATTAATCGACATCAATTACATATATAAAAAAAAATACTGCAAGTATTATGTATTTGATGAGGTGATAATCATCATCAATCTGATTATATGCCACGATGGTCAAGGAGTTTGTTTTGAATCATTTTTTTTTTTTACTTATAAAGAGACAATATAATAAATCGAACAAATTCGTTTTTCAAAATCAAGGGAAAAGAAAATGAAGAGAAAAACAGAAACAAAAATCTTATTATAATCGCATCCTATTATATACAATATCTTTAAATATTTAAAATAAAAACGCTATTTTCATTATATTTGCGAGATTTTTTTTTTTTTTTGATTAAACAACTCTTGTGTTTTCTCAAACACTGCTGAGATTCGATAAGTTTTATGTTTTCCTTTCTCTCTCTCACACACAAACAAAATATAAACTATTTATTTCGGCAAAAACTAACTAATACATCCTTGATTATACATTTATATAAATACATTATTTGCGTTTGTAAAGATAATAAATGAATGAATAAAATTTTTTTCTCTTCTTCTTCTTCTTTCATTTCATCGAGGAAAGTGGAATTAAAATAAATCGGATGAAATTTACAACAACAACAACAACAACAACAACAATGACAAAAAAAATACAATGGGAACGAAAAAAATATAAAAGAGTAAATCAGAACTTATGATGATAAATATGAATACATTATTTTCAGATATGAATAAAACGATATTATCATCATCATCATTATAATAGCCATGACCGATACAATTTTTGTTTTTTTTGGCCTCTGATAGATAGATAGAATAATGATAATATTTGATATACATTGCAATCATTATCATTATCATCATCATCATCATCACTATAATAATCAATGACTATTGATAACAAAAAAAATGAAAATGGATATGATTCATAAAAAAAAATATTTGCACTTGGGTGAAATGTAAATTTGCATCAACAAAAAAAAAAAAAAAAATTTCTGCTTTAAACTACTGATGATTCGACTACCACAAGAAAAAAAAATTCTTTCAACCTCTATGGCTTCGGATGGCTGATGATGATGATTGATGAATGATGTGTCCATTTGCAATGAATTATCAACAACGAAAAAAAAAATAAATTCGATCGATCATTTTTCATTTAGATAAAAAGAATTGGAATTATGAAAAAAAAAACAATGGAAATGAAGAAAAAGGGAAAAAAAACTTGGTCAACTAGTAAACTGGCAATAGAATGGTATTTAATGATGAGAATTTCGGCTGAAATCACAACAAATTTAATATAAAAAAAATAAATTCTTCTTTTTTTTCTAAAAAAAAGATAAATAATCAACATCATCATCATCATCATCACCTACAGGGTTTTCTGCACTGTTCTGTTCTGTTCCGTTCTGTTCATAAGATTGAAGACTTGTCTTTTGGGAAAAAAAATTCAAATAAAAAAAATTAATGATTCAAAGAATGGCGGCCACTTACCACTTGCAAAATGATGGTCAAAATGGTAATAAAATTTTTTTCATGAAAAAAAAGCTAAAATCATTACACACATAAACAGGAACAAAAAGCAAATTCTTATTCAAAATTATTTACTGCAGTCATATTCCATTCATTCAGTTAATTTTACATAGCCGTTTAACCATACATACAGGTGTACGAATTGTTCGTTTCATTCAATTCACACGTTTCATTCACGTAATAATGACTAATCTAAGGTAACTATCAAGACTGGAGACATATTCTTTGTTTTGCATTATATAATATATACGTATGCAGACAGAAAAAAATTTCCCAAACTGAAAAAAACAACGAACAAAAAAAAGTGATGAAAATAAGAAGCATCTTTTTATATGCAAGATAACAAAAATGTTTATATGACCACCAATCATGAGAGATGAATTTTTTTTTATTCCACTTTACCTTTTGGTATCATCATCATCATCATCATACGATGTAAGGATTTTTATATTTATAATCAAAAAAAAAAAAAAATGTACTCCATCATCACCAATAACAATGGTATGGATAATAATAATGATAAAAAAAAATGAAATGAAATCAACATGAACAACAACGCGATATCAAAAGAAAAAAAAAAGAATACGAACACCGTCGATTTATTCATTCATTCATTCATTTACGCGGTAGGCGGTAGAATAGAAAAAAAAAAAAAAAAAACTTAAAAAGAAGAAGAATGGACAAAGTGGCCAAGTAGCATGCCATCACCATCATCATCATCATCATCATTCTTATGTGATGATGAAATATGACTACCATTGCTATAAATTGTTATATAAGAACTTGATTCTAATTCTCTTTTTTGTTCTTTGGTTATTATTATTATTATTATTAGTGTTGTTAGGAAACATCTTTTGTCTCTAAGACAAACATTTTTATATACAGGTCCATGGAATGTTCGTTTGAATAATGGTAGCGTCGGTCAAAGGTGATTCAAAGTGTGTGTGTGTGTGTTAAATGAATGGTCAAACTGTAGATACACCCTGACCATGAACAAAAAAAATGACAAGTAAATGTGTGTTTAGTATAGGTACAAAGTTTAATCAAGTTCATATCGGTCAGATAGTGAATGAATTTTTTTTTCTTTTCTTCTTTTTTATTCTCAATACAATTCGGTTGTTCTGGTCGGAAATTAATTAGATCCGCAATGTGATGGTGGTGGCTTTAAGGCATTTTTTTCATTATTATTTCTCTAATATATCGACATTTATAATGATGATAGTATGAATGTAGATTTCGAGAAAAAATTTTCCTTTTTAAAAAAAAAACAAAATTCACCAATAAATTGTTTTGAATGGAAAAAAGATTACGTAACAAATATCAAAAAAAAAAAAAAAATTTGGTTATCATCACATATAAAGAAACAAATCGAGACAGAGACAGACATATTTATTACCGTCCATATTATGCAATCTAATTACCTGGGGAGAAAAAATGAAGAAAAAGGAAAAGAAAAAAAAAGTTTAAAGTATGCAAATCTGTAAAAACCTAAATGTGACCAAAATAATATTCGCGGAAAAAAGAATCATATTAAGAATACTACAGCAGGGGGCCATACATTATTGTTGAACAGGTGTTTGTATTTGTGTTTGTGTGGATAATAAATAAATAAATCCAACAAAATCAAGGTCTAAAATGTCTAATCATCATCATCATCATAAGTTGTTGTTGTGTCCTAATTTTTCATCCTACTTGTTGTCGTGCTGCTGCTGCTGCTGCTGCTGTTTTATCTATTGATTGATAATGTCAAAGAAAAAGAAAATTTTCAAGAATCTAGAACATCAAGATCAAGGGTCCTACTACTATGAATGATGGATTGACTAATTTTGATTGTGCCATCATACATACAAGGCAAACAATATTGATTGACAGTAGTAGTAGTGAGAGTGAAATTAACTTCACTGTACGTTATGACTTTTTGGATCATCATTACCAATATTATTGGTATCGAAAAAGTCGTAAATTTTATTCCAAACGTTATTTTGTCTAGCCGTTTAAGCCATGATCTTTTTTTTATAAAAAAAAATAAAATAAAAATGATGATCATAGAGATAATAAGAACGTAAAAGATGTGCAAACAAGTTTGAATAAATAAATTATTGTTTGATCTGAAAATAAAGTAAAAGTAATTTCCAAAAACACACACACACACACACACATTTGAATACAAGAGAATAGGAATCTGTCAAAGAAAAAAAAATTGTTCAACCACACACAAATGTAGTGTTCATTTCTATTAAGGATTTGGAACAAAGAACGAAAAAAATTTCGTCTCAAATCTAGAGTTTGTTGTTCATTGATTATCAAATTTATTGTCGATTATCATCAATATTAATAGCCCGAGGATGAAGGAAAAACTGATGGAATGAACAACAACAACAACAACAACAAAAATTTGAAAAAATAAATGAACTAACTGGCCATTTAAATTTCATTCATCGGTCAATGATTTTTTTCTCGATACGAATACAATTGATGATGATTATGATCGACCCAAACTATTAAAAAAACGGAGCTAATTATTGTCATCATTCGATGATGATGATCGGTCAATCGATGGTCAGACGTTCATTCATTCATTTTTTTTTCTTCATCAAATAGTTAGATAAACTGAAAAAAACTATTTCTATTTGTTTTTTTTCAGTTGAATGTTGCAAAAAAACGTTTATTGTAAGTTATCAACAACAAACAATGATCATCATCGTTGATTGATCAATGAGAAAAATCCACACACACACACACAAACATACAATCAACGATTAATTAATGTATCCATTGACAAACAAATAAAAATCGCACATGAATATATCCAATTTTAGATAAACGATGAAAAAATTGTCTATCTACTTACTGATGATGATTGCTGATGCTGATGATTTCCATTGATCGAAGACGAATAGAATTGTTCGATAGAATCATTGATATTATCATTATTATGGCTATGATTGGCAGATATTGTTGACTGTTTTCGTGTATAATTCTTTTCAACATCATCAAACACTTTGGACAAATGACCTGATAATGCTTTGTTTTCACGAATTCGTACAACCGACGAATCGATTTCTTCAGTGAGAAATTCGACCTATTAATTGAAACAATCATGGTGATGATCATGATGATTTTAATCATTGTGTGATATAAGAATAGAAAATCAATTAAAGGTATGAAGAGAAAAAAATTGAATGAATTCATCATAATCAAGGTTGTTGAATAGAATAGAATGTACTTACAGTCGAATGCATTGGCTTGTTAGGACAATGTACTCGGACATGTGATGCATCAATTGAAACAGTTTTGCCGTTACCATTGCTACTGTTATTATTATCTTGTTGCTGTTGTTCAAATTTTTCACGAACATTTTCAAATTTAAATTTACGTAGTGCTTGAAAATAGTTTGGGCTTGTCGGTGTAATTGGCCCAATCATTTCATCAATGTCTTTACATTTGCTGATAAAATCATTTAATTCTTGCTGACGTTGTGGCTGTTGTAATACATTTAAATCATTTTATTATTATTATTATTATTATCCATCATCGTTTCACCATTGACCATTGTTGAATTGCCTAAAGAATTGATTGAATCTTGACTTGAATGATTACTACCACTATTATTATTATTATTATTATTATTAAAACTATTACTTGATGAATGAATCAATGAATGGCTACTCTCTTTTAAACTGGTCACTTCATTCTGTATACAAGTAATAGCATTGTCAATTTCTATTTCATCATTTTTTTGTTCATCATCATGGACAACATTGTTTATGTTTAGTTTTTTATCATTCAGATTGTAGCCATCTTGATCATCATTATCATCAATGAACGAATCACAACTAATCACTGTCCGATTTGATTGGGCACTTGACAATCGTATTGTGAACGTATTGTTACATTCATCATCATCATCATCATCATAATTTTCCGATGCATCTTCATACGTATCGTCTTCGTTTTCACTACTATCATTTTTTGTTGTAGTTGATTTAGTTTCATTCATAATTATTCGGTCGGCAACATCATAATCGTTGTCTGTTGACATTGAGGACACGGATGGTGTTGCTGATGATGATGATGATGATGATGATGAACGAGTTTTATCATTTGAATTGTTGGTTAAATTTCTTGAGCAGGACAATGGTTCGGCCGATGCACTTCGTTCCAGTGAATTATTATCTAATTTAATAATGGTCAACAAATTTATATTATCATAGCTTCCTGAATTTTGCTTTTGGATTGGTGAAATTGCCGACGACAATGATGCTGATGATGATGATGATGATGAAATTTGTTGTTGTTGTTGGATAATCTCGCTATTATTATTATTATCATCATCATCATAATCACTCGTTGGAATTGGACAGTTTTTTGTTGAATCCACACGACTATGATTCGAATTCAAACTATTTAGTTCCGAGCTATCATCATCATCATCATTATACAATTCAGTGATCAATGAAGTAATTTGATGACTATCATTATTGAAAGCTGATGATGATTCCTGGTTGATACTTTGACAATTATTTACGGCAATCAATTGTGTTGGAGAAAGAGGTCGATGAATGCTGATGGATGATGTTGATGATGATGATGATGATGATGATTTATCGAAATCTTGAACATTGTCATTTGACATTGATTGTCCATTTTTTGATAAAACTTTTAATGAACTTTTTTCTACTATAAAATTTTGATTTTTTCTTCCACTTATTAGCAATGTAGATGATGATGATGATGATGATGATGGTGTTTGTGTGCCAAATTTTGTCTTATATTGAGTTGTATTATTCCTGTTTAACGATGATCGTGCTATTACAGGTGCTGACGCAAAACGATTTGTCGTTCTGATTGTATTGCACATCAGATGCGAATAACGATTGTTTTTGTTATTCTTATTAATTAATGAAGATGATGATGACGATGAGAAACGAGAATATTCATTCTGTTGACTATTGCTAGTTGGCCTGGAACGAATGCCGTCTGTATTATCATATTTTACTGTTGAATAGGATGTTGATGATGAACATGAAGACGACAGATCATTCAAAGAATTTGAATTTAAATCTTCATCACTATTCATTGCTGTTGTTTGTATTGCTTGATGACATTTTTGAATGCCAAAAATACACTTTTTAGGTCGATCTACGAATATTCGTTCAACACTACAAATAGAACATCGACTCTGATGAACTTTTTGTTGTTCATCATCATGATTGGAGCCTCTGCCATCATCAGGATCGTTATTGTCGTTGTCGTCGTTCTCCACGATGATACTGTCACCATTATTCTGTGCGTCGGTGTCAATAATTTTTGATGATGTTGGTCGCGTTGGTGATGTGCTACGAGAAATCATTTCCACACGATAATGATGTTCACTATCATCTGTTGATTCATTAATTTCATAGTTACTAGTGTTTGATGTTTTTGCTACAATTGATTTTGTCGACGGACCTAATGAGTGTTTGGAAACTTTTACTGTGGATAATAATGATTGAGCTCGAATCGAGCGACCAGGACCAGAATGTCGTACAAAACGACTAGGTTTATTTGTGACACCATTATAAGTTGAATTATTCGAGTTATTTGAACCTAATGATGAAAGATGTGGTCGATAGCTACTGCCAAACGTTGATGATGATGATGATGATGCTGTTGGTGTATAATGGATTGGATTATGAATTTGGATTTTTGTACCTGGACAAGATGTATTTATATTCGATTTGCTTGCAATACCAGTTATATTTTCCACAGATGATAATAACAAACTTTTAGGATCATTATTACATTGATTTGTTGAATTGGTAGTAGATGATAAAGCCGATCCAGTGTATGCTGATGGTGGTTTTGTTCTCGATTTGATTTTATGATGTTTATTAGCATAAAAATCTAAACGTGTTTTATTCAATGACATTTTCGATTTTTCAGGAAATAATAATCGTATGAAATGAATGCCCTCCGCCCTATTTTTTAATTTATAAACATAATTAATAGGATTGGTTAATTATAATGCATGGCCATCTATCGACAGTTGTTATAAGCATAATTTTAAATTCATGAATTTTTTTGTTTTTTTTTATTTTTATTTAGAAAAAAAAATTCACATTCAAACATGATTATTATCCTGGGCAACGTGAATACATTGTGAATGAATCCATTGTAATTATTGTTTTTTTTGCATGAAAAGATGATAATAATAGAAAATAGTAGTTGCACACACGTTTTTCTCATCTATACTTTCATTTATTTGTTATTTGAATGAAAAGAAAAAAAATACAAACACAAGTGCAATCCACGTAATTCTTGGAATTCTTTAGTGAGAAAATAATCAGACAATTGTTATCAAATGGAAATTAATTATGAACATGAAACAGTTGTATAGTTGAGGGTCAACAAACGGACATCTTATTTTGGACCTAATACTCATACAGATATTAGAATAGATAATGACCATTGTTGTTTGAATGTGAATTTTTTTTTTCTCGACAATGTTACAATTTATATTGTATGACTATAGGAAATATTAAAAATTATTCACTACAATCACGACTAGTTGATTGTAGTGTTTTTTTTGTTGTTGTTGTTGTTGTTGTTGAGTGTGAATTGATTGTGTGACACGACATGAATAGCAAATGGACAAAAGAAAAAAAATGGATAGACACGATTTTAGGATTTAAAAAAAAACTAATTTGCAAACAACAGAAGCAATGACCAATATTTATCATTCATGAAATGTATCTAGAACTAAAAAAAGAAAATGTTTTTTTTTGTTGATTTTGATGATCAATATGTTGATCGATTGCGATTTAAATTACAAAAGCCTTGACGAAAAAAAATAAATCAATCAGCTAATTTACATATGATGATTGATTTGATTCTTAAGGGTCTGGAATGAGATAGATTTATACAATGTGTAAGCAAAGAAAAAAAATGAAACAAAGCAAAATTAGATGAAAAAAAAGATTTACCTTAAAATGAATGAGATGAAAAATATTCAAGGTTTAAAACAAAACAAAAAAAAAACGATCACTATAAGATGGACAACAAATAGAAATGAATTCGTATTAAAATTTTCTTATCACAAATTTTCTTTGCTAAAAAACAGCATTCGAATATCACATATGAAAATAAAGATAGATTAAAACCAATGACAAACAGAGTGTGACAATCACCGTACTCAACATTCGACAAATATATATCGTCGGCAACATATCGTTATCAGAACATTCTTGAGCTTAAACATCAGAATGATGGTTGCGTTTTGTTCATTCTACCAGACAGAATTTATCATCGACAAAATGTAGTATGTGAGCTTGGCAAAAAAAAAGCTAGCATCCATGAACCTCCTATAGAATTATCATCATCTTCATTGATAGTCAAGTGAGTCAGTTTTTATTTGTCTGTAACTTAAAGATTTAGGATGTATATTTGTTTCACACAAAAAAGGGGTTGCTACTGCCAAAAAAAAAGCCATTCCCATCATCAACATAAAAATCACTTTTAACGGTCTTGAAAATAATTATTACCACACCGTCTTTATGACACCGATCGTTGATTATAATCCCATTCATTGATTTGTTATGAGTTTTTCATCAAGTTTTAAACATTTAAAATGAATCAATTGGAAAATCTTGGCAACCAGATTCTTGTGTATTGAACTATTCGAAATGAAATGAAAACTTTAGCAATTTATTATTAACTAGTTTGCTAGAAGCGGACAAATCAATTTCTCATTCTGACAAAATAATTTCACCATGATATTGTTTCCTTTTCCTTTATCCATATTATGTGAACATTTTATCATATTGTTGATGATGAATTATTTCAGATTTATTGTCAAATACACATATAAAAATCATATTTGGCGGGCGTGATTATGTGTGGGTTGAATTTTCAACGAAAGTACTGATCTGAATCGAATAACCAAAATGAATGAACGAATTATTTACATTCATTGCTTTTTTTTCAAATGATCTTTTCCTGGTGCGCACGAATTTTTGTTTTTCATATACAACACAGTGAATTTGATTGTGTGAACAACAGTGAACAGGAACTAAATTTAGCGTCAAAGTAGAAAGAAATGATTTTTCTTTCACTTTGGCTCTTATAACATTGGTGCCAAAACAACAAGCCATACCATTGAAATGCTACAATAATAAAAATGTTGAAATACAATACACACACACAAAATATACATTATAATTTCAATTTTCATTCATTCACAAGTCATGTATATTTTTTTTCTTGTATTTTTCTCTTATTTCAGACGATGAGATTCATAAAACGTGATGACATGATGTTTGTTTTTTTTTTAATATTCATTCTTTGTCTTCAATAGCTGTTTATTATATAATGATAATTATTATATGGACTAGATTCTCCAGATGCTCTAAATCTAATTTTTTTTTATAATCCGTAAAGTTTGGATAACCTTGGATGAAAGCTATGATTATAATGATTCATACCAAATGGTATACACTGTATCATATATCAGATCGTTATTTGAATATCGGAATTTAAACAATTTGCATTTTGGCAATATTTCAAAACGTTTTTTTATTGAATTTATAATCAAACAACAAAACAAAAAACAATAATCATTATTTATTCATTTTGTCGTTGATCATTACCCTTTGTATACCTTAAAAAATTTGCATCAAAACAAAAACATTTATTTGCATTATTCTTTATATTTAAATTTAGTTACATGATATATTACAACAAATTGAATTGTCATCGCCCTTGTCGATTGCTACATTCCGGAAAACATATCCGAAAAGATTTTCACACTTATGGACGGTACATGATGATGATGATGAATCGAATGTCAGAAAAAGAATAATTTGTTTCGTAATTTGCTTGCTTGTTGTTGATATTGTTGAGAATTTTATTTAAATGATGAATGATCGAATAACAAAATGTTAATGGCTTTGAATAATAATTCAACGAATCATGACTAAATGACAACGAACTTTTTTTTGGTTTTTTATGTATTTTTTTCATATACGATTATTACTTGATCGATAAAATGAATGAACTCAATGAACTAACGAAAATGTCTGAGATGAATGAATGATGGAAATCTTCGCTTTAGAATCAATTTTTTGAATAAAAAAATGGACACAAATATCGAGATAATCATGATCGAATAGAATTGATAATTAACATCGGAAGTATTAGATGATCTCTGTTTTTGTTGTATGCCATTGTTACCGTTGAATATTTGAGCCATTTTCGAATCTGGCCAATCATTGTTCATAGATTTATCGTGTTTCATTCTGTTGTCCAATCTATGACGGTCATCTTTCGAAAAGATTTTCTTCATGAATGACGATTCGACAAGTTTATCACTATCATCATCATCATCAGCATCATCAATATTAGCAGACAACAATAGCTTTGGTGATTTAGGTAATTTTTCATCTGAACTAATATTCAACATTTGTTGTTTTTCATACACGATCTTTATACATTTCTGAATAGGAACGAATTTTGATGATTGATCAATTACTTTTGAATATTTATACAATTGATTTTCTTTTAATCGTTTAGGTTTGATCGGTTGTGTACGACTCAATTGAAAATTATGTACAATAAAATTTTCAATATGTGATTGCATCATAGTGTCAGATTGTTTTTCCTTTTCAATAAATGTCGGCACTTGTCCAGTAGTAGCAAATTGTAATAAAGCATCAAGCATCCAAAAACAATCTTTTTGTTGATGTGCCTGATCAAGACAATTTGAATCACCATAGATTGAAAAGCGACCAATTTTACGATTAGATAAATTTCTATGCATTCCCAGTATGGCCGCTTGTTCTGTTTTTTTCTTTCTTTCTTTATTGTTTTCATTCGATATTTCCAAACCTTGGTTGTTGAGATCACGATGTATTACAATAAAATTTTCTTTCGGATAATCAATGATACTCGTTCCAGATGCATAATACATTTCATGTGATCCAAGCTTAAAATTCCCTTCAAAAACTTGTTCACCTAATGTAACATTCCAATGGACTAGTAAATCGTTCAAAGCCGGTATGTTAGCACCACCAGTAACTGGTAGCCACCATTGTCTGGTGTTTTCGTCAAAAAATTTAACTTTCTGCATAACTTCCACATTGTACCAATCGGCAAATATAATTAACGATAAACCATTTTCAAAGTAATCTTTGCCAAGTTTTTCGATTTCTTCGGGAAAAAATTCTTCCTCTGGATCAACAATTAATAACGCGCCATATTGTTTGGCATCAAAACAAATGAAAGGTTGGCCTAAAACTTCCAGGTAATAGCCATTCGATCTAAGGTGTTGATACATTTCACGAAAATTCGTGCTATAAGAAAAAAAAATGAAAATTAACTTAGCTGAATAAAATTAAAAGAAAAACTTACTGAATATGATCAGCATTCCAATCAAGGGGATCATATTTTATTCGAAGATCATCACGAGGAAAATAACCTGGCGGATAACGTAGATTATGGAATTGATCCCAAAGAATTCGTTTATTTCTTGGTGGAGTGGGGATGATTTTTACTTTTATTGGCAAGATTAATTCACTAGTTAAGGTGCTGTTATTATTCTCAACATTTTCTGCAGATGATTCAACAGTAAGGGAGATATGTCCTCGAACAATGCCTTCCCAATCGGAAGCGAATGATGACACAGATAAATGAAGAGCTATCCATCCAGACCAAGGCCAAAGTATATCTGTGTATGAAATTGCAACGTCTAGATAATGTCCATTAAAGCCGCTATAAGGATGCCATTGAGGTCGTTTGTTGATGAATCCAGTGACACCCATACCATTTAATATAGTAACATTTACAATGATTGGAACTGCTCCATGATATAATGGCTGGCTACAATATGGCCACATATAAGGACATTCAGTGAAATCGATATAATTTGGATATAAAGATGCTTGAGGTTTATAATATCGTAGAATATGATAGGCTCTAACGAGATCAAGTTTACCAGCACCTTGTTCAAAAATAGGAGCATTCGGTATCCTATGAGCAGAATGAATGAGTGCCTGTTTCATACTCGCCGGATTAATAAGATCTCCCATGTGAAGAACACCGCTCATCACTAAAGTGATAGCACCAGCTACGACTGGAGAAGCGACCGATGTTCCAGAGAGAACACGACATCCGCCATTAATATTTGATCCACGAACATAGGCTCCATAAGTAACAATGTCTGGTTTGACTCTTCCATAACCTTGAGGCAATTCCCAAGTTGTCATTCCACGGGAAGAAAATCTAGCAATTTGGTCATCAAAGTCAATTCCACCAACACCGATGACATCCATTTGATCAGCAGGATTATTCAGCGTACCATAAAGAGGACCATCATTACCAATGGCTGAAACCATGATAACATTATTGGCTGTAAGTTCCCATACCTTATCAACAAAAGGCGTATCCATAAAATCAGGTCCACCAATGCTCAGATTCAAGATATTAATTTTTTTCAATATGGCATAATTAAATGCATCCAAAAACCATGAGGTATATGAAACTTGTTTGTTGGTAAAGACTCGAAAAATATGAAGTTCAGCGTCAGGTGCAAAACCCAAACATTCTCGACTACTAGCAATCACACCGGCCACAAAAGTTCCATGACCAAGACCATCATCCAAAGTTTTTTCATTCGTCCAATTTGTTCGTTCTTTTATCTTCTTAAAATGCTTATGGTTAAGAGATAAACCAGTATCAAATACAGCTACTTTAACACCGGTTCCAGTGATTCCCAAATTCCATAGTTTGTCTGCTTGAAGTACATTACTTATCTGTCGGGGTATTGTACGCAACAATCGTCTTCTTGTATCACTATAATTTATATTATCAAAACTTGATTGACTAAATCGTTGATTATGATTAGTTTCGGAAATATTTACAAATTTGAGAGTACGAATAATTTTTCTTTGTGGTGTAATATTTTTTATCTTTCGATGATTTCGCACGGTTTTCACAAACCATTCCAATGGTATAGATAAATTTACGAAATGAATCACATCAAAATCACTTGGATATTTATTGGCTTCATTGATTCGTTGGAGAATCGACCAACTTTCATCATTTATTCCAGCTTGAGCAAATGAAGCTTTAATAAAATTATATCGAGTTGAGGATTTATACAGGTGATTGAAAGTTATGATGAATTCTGCAATTAAAATCGAATTAAAGATACTGTCAAAGTTGGTTAGATTTTTTTACCATTATTAATAATATCACTATTGAAACTGTTTTCCACGTATATATCAATTGGAAGATCAAATGTATCACTGAATGAAAATGATCGACAGGTGTCCAGAATTAATAGCTCTGAAAAGATCAATATATGAAGGAATAGATATTTTGAGAAAAACATTCTAAAGATGGAATATTAAAATCGATATAAAAGACATCAGATTCATGATAATTATTTTTAATGAGGAATTTTTTGCTTGTTTCAATTGGAACCAAAGAATATTCATTTTCAAAACAAACAATCATTGAAACACGTGATACTAATTTTTCATTCATAAACAATGTATGATGGCACATCTTTTAAATTCCTTTATTTTTAACTTTTATTATTACAATCATCAATGGAATATATCCGTTTTTTCTTTCACTATTTTGTTTCCGACGTTTTTTTTTATTCCAACATGAATGGCTAAATTACACTTTATTGTGTTTTCCGTTCTACGTACACGTGCAATCATATTAAACTATTTATATTATCATTATATACTTAAGATTTTTGCAATTTTTTGTTGGTTACGCTTGAATTATGTTTTGTCGTAATTTGTTTTTCATATTTTCATATCCGTTAACTACAACAGATTATGTTTGACATTGATTCAATGAATGAAATGGCTACCATTATGGTTTAATATATTAGATAGAGAAAACGTAAATCAACGTGTTAAACCAAAATCATGTTCTGTCCAGTTTGCTTTTGAATGCGAACCTTTTCGCGATGGCTCTAATACGAATTTTCAATAAGTGTTTCATCCATTTGGCCATTTATTCAATTATTTGTTGTCTCATCTTTATGGGAATCGCCAATCAAATTCAATTGCCAACATTTGAAGATCTTGATATAAAAGATTTAAACATCGATACCAGTCTAGATTATGGTCCCGATGATGGTGGTGCAGAAATTTCTCAACCAGTAGCTGCATTTACTGGTGCTGACAAAGATCATGGATCAATGATGATTAAAGCTGTCACTTTAATTCGTGGCCAAGTCAATGGCATTGTACGTTTGGTTCAAGTTGGTTCTGGACCAACTCTGGTTTCCGGTATTGTCAAAGGTCTCTATCCCTTCTCTAAACACGGTTTCCATGTCCACGAATATCGTGTGACTGGTGATTGTGAAAGTGCCGGTGAACATTACAATCCGACTAGAGAGAATCATGGGTCACCATTTTCTGTACAGTCACATGTTGGGGATTTTGGCAATCTTGTCGCTGATGGACTTGGATTCAGCAGATTTCATGTGACTAATCCAAAATTATCGTTACGTGGAAAATATAGTGTTATTGAGCGTTCATTAGTTATTCATCAACGACCTGATGATCTAGGAATGGGTTTAAATCATGAAAGTCGCAAAACGGGAAATTCTGGAGGAAGACTTGGCTGTGGTACAATAAAATTCGTAAGCATCGGTTGAATATATATATGTTCTGACCATGATGTTACAATACATTAAAAATGAATATCACATTCTTGTATCAATATAAATAAAGTTTGTTTGCAAAATGCTTAGCAATGTGCGTCATAAAATCAGCAATGATAAAAAAAAAAAACTATGCAATAGTCGGTATAGATGAGATTCACGACGTGTTTTAAATATAGATTTTGATTGTATCTCCAAGAGACATTGTGTATCCAGACAACAATGTCTCATGATCCTTGAAAAGAAAATCAATTTTAATAAGGATTCACTCCATTCTACCAGGGTAATGATTCATCATTAAATTTTTTTCCAGATCATTGAAAATGATACGATCAATAAACTTTGGAGAAAGATATGAAAAATTGGTATTTCATATGGAGCCAATTTCTTTATTACAACAAATGATAAATACGACCTTCAAAACGATTATATGTTTGTGCGTAGGATTGAGTAGACAACATCGCCATCGTGGGCTCATTTCCAAATATGTACTTGTAAAAATGTGTAATATTTGTTTTACACAATCACAAAATTTTTTCAAACCATTTCCAACAATTTACTATTGAATTGAAAAACCATAATCATAATCGATCGATTGTTTAATTGTTTTCACTACGTTTTCAAACATTTACCTGATTCGTAAATAGCGTTACATTGTTATTGTTTTTTTTTTGTTTTGTTTATATTCTCGTCAATATAATCAACGAACTAAAATTCTTGTAAGGAAGATGTAAAAAATTTTCTCTACTTAATTTTTACCATATTTAAAAAAAACCAACGAAAACACTCGAATAATAATACTCGAATAATGAAGCTAATATTCATGATTTTTAAATTGAACAAATTCTTATTAATCGACTAAAATGCCTTCAAATAATGGTTATCAGCCATTGATTAATTCGCATCAAGCATCATCTTCATATTCATCATCATCATCATCATCGTCTCATCGAATATACAGACCACGTTTTTTGGATGAAATATGTTCGGATGGTACTGCTGCACCTTCTTTAAAATTGGGCGACAAAGTCGTCTGGATTAGTGATGATGGTCCAGAATACGGTGTTGTCAAATGGTTAGGAAAATTACCAGATGTTGGTAATGAATGGATGGCTGGTGTAGATTTTGTGAATCCAATAGGTTCTGGTACAGGATTATATCATGAATATCAGCTGTTCCAGACCAGAATGAATCATGCATCATTAGTGCCTATCGCCGGCTTGATAAGAGCTAATGATTATATTGGAAACCATATCAACAACAACACAAGCAGCAGCAGCAGTAAAATAACGATACCATTCTCATGCCTCCATTAAAGCCAAAACGAACGAAAAAGACTGAAACTTCCAAATTCTATACGAATGAGTTTTATCACAATAATCTTAATAAAGATTCAATGAATAATAATGATAATTTAGAAAAGCATAGTAAATTTTCTGACAATATTGGTCATCATTCATCATCCACTATTGATTACATTTCCACTGATTTAGCTGAATTAAATTTTACTAATAATGTAATTCAGCCAAAAATTCTCTCATCTGATGCCGATTTCGACAAATCTAGCCCATCAAAATGTAAGCAATTCAATAACTCATTTTCATTTCATTTTTTTTTAATTTCTTCCTGTTCTATCATTAACATTATATAGCCAATGAATATCCGACATTTGGATTGCATAGTTCATCACGATCAATTACAAATTCATGTAATAGGACAGAAGAATTTGTGAATAACAAAAACAATTTTGATAAAATGGAATGTGATCAACGTAAAATAAATGTACCTAGCCCTAAAAAAATCAATAACGGTATAACTATTGAAGAAAATCAAGAATCATCTGAAGACGATGAATTGTTTGAGATTGGTTCAGTGGTTGAAGTGGTCATAAATTCTGCATCATATCACGGAGTTATTCGATGGCTTGGTTTTCTTAAAAACGATATAGACTATAGAATTGATTCGATTAGAAAATCGAACAAACGTTTCAAAGATGTTGTAGCTGGAATAGAACTTGAAGATGAAATCGCTGGTTTAACCGATGGAACATTAAATGGTCGAAGATATTTTGATTGTTCAATTAATAAAGCTTATTTTGTTCCTTTGAATGAATGTTCAAAAGATAGCCGTTTCTATCATAGTTCTGCTGCTTGTGTGGAAAATGGTAGCTCACTTTTGAATGAAAAACAATATGATTCTAGTCATTTTGGATCGATTGATTGTCCAACAGTTTTGGGTGACATAACACCATTAACTACTGCAGATTTACACCGTCTTTGCGGCAAAAATCGTGGCATTCAAGGCCACCATAATTCCTGTTATTTAGATGCTACTTTGTTCGCAATGTTTTCATTTAGTTCAATTTTTGATAGCCTACTTTATCGTCCCAAACGTTCAAACGACATACAAGAATATAATGAAGTTCAACGCATTCTCAAAGAAGAGATTGTCAATCCGCTACGGTCGAATCTATATGTACGAGCTGACAGGGTAATGCATCTTCGACAATTGTTAGAGAAGATAAGCTCGGTACGAGGATTGACCAGCGAAGAAAAAGATCCTGAAGAATTCATAAATTTGCTCCTAAATGAGATATTGAAAACGGATCCTTTCCTGAAACTGAGTTCCGGTCTAGAATCATTATTTTATCAACTATTTCTAGAAAAAGATGAAAATCTTCAATTGCCAAACGTTCAGCAGCTGTTCGATCAATCATTTTTAGCATCAGATATAAAACTACGCGAAGTTCCATCATGCCTAATGATACAAATGCCACGTTTTGGTCGCGATTTCAAAATGTATCCGAAAATAGTTCCTAGTTTAAATTTAGACATAACTAATGTTCTGGACAATTCTCCTCGACAATGTATAATATGTGGTGAACTGGCTCAATTCGAATGCAAAGATTGTTTTGGAAAATTCGGTGATGGTCTTGATTCAATAGCATTCTGTATGATATGTATGGAAAAAACTCATAGTACACATAAAAAACGCATCAAACACAAGACAATAAGATTAAATGTTCCTATGGAATTTACTATGCTTCAAAATCATACAAACATACCACGAGTAACAATGGAATTGTTTGCTGTACTTTGCATTGAAACAAGGTATTGAAATTGCTTTATATTTACTTAGGAATCATTTTTTCTCATGACAAATTATCTCAAAAATTTATATAGTCATTATGTTTCATTTGTTAAATGTGGAACTGAACCTGACAGTCCTTGGTGTTTTTTCGATAGTATGGCCGATAGAAAAGGTATGGCATGAAAAAAATATGAATGAATTATTGAATACAATTCATTTCATCTATAAATTTTATTATAATTCATTGCAATTGTACAGGTGAACAGAATGGTTACAACATACCAGAGGTTGTCGAATTTCCGGATTTAAAGTAAGTTAATTTTTTGTTTTTGTTCATATTAATAAAAAAATAATTCTATATGTTCTCTCTATCTCTATATTTTATGGTTGTTAAATTGTTATTGTTACAATTTTGTGAAACAAATTTCAAATGAAATGCACAGATGGTGGATGAATGAAGATGGACAAAATTTTCTACAAAAAAATCGTGATGATAAATTGATCCCCGAATTGGCCAAGCGTTTTTTCTCTGATGCTTATATTTGTTTTTATTCATCTGAAGCATCACATTATAGATGATGACAATCATCATCATCATCATCACCATTGATAATAATTGATATAAACATGAACATCTTATCCACAATTGTGCAATATTTTTATCACTACGATTTAAAAAAAAATCCCACCCAAAAACGAACAAAAAATCATGGAAAAAAATTTTATTCTATTTCGACTTATTAAAAATAAAAATGAAATGAAATTGTGTGATTATTAATCAATAATATAATCGACTTATTATTACTTTGATTAGAAAACAAAAATGAAAATATTTTTCAATATGATTAAAATATTGTTTATTCTCAAATCACTGGTTGATTTATTATTAATGATTGATTATCATAAAATGAATATATATGGATATATATGGATTTTCAAATGAAAATGACAAAGATCAAGATGTATTTGTTTTTTTTTTTTTTTTTGCATATGTATAATTTGAATACATTTATTTACATGAAATATAAAAATAATATAACATAATAACATGAATATATGTGTTTATTATAATATACGATACATGGAAACAGAAAAAAGAGTTATGTATTTCCATATTATTTCATTCACATTTATATTATTATTCATGAGAATATTAATTTTAATGTGTTTGCATATCAAATGTATTCATATACTGTGATTGGAAACAAACAGGAAAAAAAAAATAAAATAAAAGAGGTATATTTCCAGTTATCAAGTGATTGATTATACTCATCGTACAAATAGATGAGAGTGGAGCAAATCGAGATAACGTATATATTATTATTATTATAAGGTGACCAAAGTCAAAATATACACACATAACCATAGGAATTGTGAAAATGATGATAGAGAACGAAACGAAGAGAAGGTGATGTATTTGTATGTGGGTTGGATGAGATCAAATTTCTATGATTTGTAAAAGAATTTAGATATTTTTTTCTTTTCCTGGTTTTTTTTTCATATAAGAGGCGTGTGTGTTAGGTTTTTTTTCATAGTTTTTCACTATGTATGAAATTCAATGTATTCATATCTATCTGCTTGGTGTAAGTGTGGTTATGTGTTTATTTGACAATGATGAAAATTTATGGCCAATATTCGTGGCTTTATATTATTTCAATATCGAACGATGTGTATCCAGTGTCGTTAAACATGTCATCTGGCTGATTGGCATGATCGTCATTCCTGTGGAAAAGATAATGAAAACGAGAAAAAAAAACAAAAATCGAAATCAATGTAAAGTACGTGATTATATGCATTGTACATACCGAACAGCACGATAGGTAAAGAATACGATTCGTTTAAGTTTTTTCGAATAGAAAAAATAATAATAAGCCCATATGGAACAATCATCCCATGGATCGAAATTTGAATCCGAATTAAAACTAAAAAAAATAAAACAAAAGATTAATGTTGAACATTTTGCCCATTGAATGAATAAAATGTAAAATTGACATACCGATAGATTTCACAATCTGATAGACTAATATGACTATCGATTGCCGACCAAAGCTGTGATTTCATTTCATTGTATTCTTGTCTTGCCGATGAACTGAAAAATGTCGAATCCACAGCATCCATTACATGCTAAATATCAGTGAAAAAAAAAATAATAATAATAATGAATAATAGTGTTTTTTGAAATGAGCAACGAAATAAAATTGAGATAATTAATGGTGATCATTGCTCCGTAGCGGTGAAATAATAATAATAATAATAATATATTGTTTTTTCTTTGCTAAAATGTTTTGAAAGCTTTAAACTTTAGCCTTTACGATATGATGTGATTGAGTGATACATTCAATTAATTTAAAATTTTTCAATTTAAAAACAAACACTTAAAAACGATTGATTTTTATTCTATTCCGGAGTACTACTATTTTGGCTAAAACAATCAAATGAAAAAAAAAAATGCCGAACCAGCGAAAATTCCAATGAAATGGAAAACAAAAACACATGAAGATTAACGACCATATTGTATTATTATTAGTTATATATATTCTACGATTTATATATGGTAAAAAAACACAATCTAATTGACAATCTGTAATGTATGTATTATTTTTCAACATGTACATTCGGCTACTGTTTAACACATTGAGCTTTGAGTGAAAGAAGAAAAAAAAAATTCACAGTGTAAGCTTTAATATTGTGTGACCATCATCATCATCATCACCAATGCCATCATCGAAATCATATTTCTTATGAATAGAACAAAAGAATTTCCATTATAATAAATGAAAAAATTGATGATCCAGGACAGATTTGCTTTTCTCTCACTTTTTTCTGTTGTTTCAAATATTCTTGCCATTGTTAAAATGTATATAATAAAAATGAATGATTAATAATAATACCTTTACACTTGGTTCACGGCTAAATTCTTCAGCACGGCAATTACTGAAATCATAATCCGGATTGAATGAAGCGTTCAATGTAGCAATCAAATAGAATAAAGTTTTTCGGCTGATCATCGATGCTGGTGTGTATTGAAATTCTGAATCGGTGAATGAATCGAATCTGTCATGAAAAAAAGTGTGAAAAAAATGAATGCAATAAAATATTAGATGAATAAATAAATAAATAAATATAGAATTGAAAATGACAGAATTTCTATTGGATTTGATGTTCACATTGCCGCCAAAAAAAAAAAGAGAGAAAAAGTGATCCAATTTCATTTTTCATCAACAGGATCAAATTTCAAAATCAAGAATATATAAAATGAAATGTACATATCAAACTTTATTAACATCATCATCATATGATAGAAAAAATGAGAGAATTTCCCTTTCATTATTATAGTGTAGATTCCTATGAACAATTCTGGTCATATACAAAGCGATTAAAAAAAAAAAAGAAATTAAAACAGAATTTTTTCTTCCAGAATTGAATGAGTAAAATAATACAACTATATACCAATCCTAGCTTCCATTATCTATTGTGAAATGAAAAAAAGTGAAAAACAACAAAAGAAAAATTCCATCAATTTTTTATTGATAAATGAAAAAGATGGTTATCAGGTTAAATATATATATTCTTGTTTGTTCAAGTGCAAAGAATTCAATATATAATTCGTTAATTTATGTGTGAGAAAATGAAAACAATTGTTATTTATTATATAAAAGTGAATGTGTTTAGCCTAAATATATAAAACAATCAATGTGTATAAGAAATTGAAAATTGTTTTTCATTACTAATCTCGCAGTTTTTTTTCATTTTCTATCTTTTTTTTGTTTGTTTGTAACAATCATAATTAAGCTTTTGGCACGAACAACAACAACAACAACAACAAAGTGGAAAAAATAGTCAGTCATTCAGGAATAAAAGATAGACAAACAGGATTTGATCAATATATTTCCGTTTTTTTTTCTATTTCTCTCTATTCAAGCTCATAAAGAAATCAATTAAATATTTTTTTTTCTGTCTGGTATATATGTCCAAGTTTTCGTTTATAAAAATTCTGCACTTTTTCAATAATACAATCAAATTGAATTGATAGTGATAACTTTGTCATGAAACATTCGTATAGATGAAATTTTTTTTTTTGTTTTGTTTTGCTTTTTCCGTTTTGTTTGAATTCTTTGTTATTTTTTTTCGATTATCATTATTAATACTATACGTTATGGTATATGATGTATTTTCAGATAACCAGGTTTATCTATTTTGGCTTGTTCTTTTCATCAAGATGTCTACTACACATGATGAAGAAATTCTTTGGTCTAAATTCCTTAGAACTATCCTATATAAACTCAGGTTAACTGGGAACTAGTAATTGAATGTGTGTGTGTGTGTGTGTGTGATAATTGAAGAAAAGCAATTTGAGATTAGAATGACCAACTTATAGGCGAATAGCCAAATATTCTTAACCCAATAGAATTTTTTTGTTTGTTTGAAAACTTTGTTATAGATCATCGAGGAGGGAGTAAGAACACAAATGAAAATGAAATATACGACTATGAAATGTGATGGATGCGAAGACAAACAAAAAAAAAAAAAAAAAAAAAAATAGAATAATAAGGAAACTTTTAGGAATAGTTTTTTTGTGACTAGAGCAATATAGAGAATTCAATCTTCGAATCGAGTGTAATGATCGGGAAAAGCCAAAAGAATATATATTATGAAATTAACCAAGCAAGTATCCGTTGCTGAAACTTTGTTATCATTGTCCAAGCTCACCTGCTGTTAAAAGATCCAGATTCCGGTGGTGAAAGTACTTCTAAATCATTCGGACTAAGACCATCGGCAGCATTCATCAACTTGAAGAGACGTTTTTCACTGGCCACCAATTTACATGAATAACTTTCCAGTCTATATTAATTTTTCAGATTCCATAAATAAGACATGAAAATTGGGTAAGAAACAGAAAGAAAAATTAACAAATAAATTAGAAATTACAAAAACAACATTAATCAAAAAGACAATGACAAGAATAATAACCTTCCAACAATCTGATATACGCCAGCATCAAAATTCAATGCTGAATTAAGAGCTTCGAAATGAGAATGTTCCAAAAACTTCATCTTATTAATATTAAATGCGTCAATGATTAGAGAATTAAGTATTGTTTTGAATCGAACGAAGAGCCAACGTCAAGTATAATCGTCGAGAAAATAAACAAATAATAATAATAATAATAAGCACAAAACAAATGAGTTGAAGATATAGTTGATAGAATTTGAAGGACAATCATACAAAACAAAACAAGGTGACACAGTTTTTTCGTACACTTTTAGGATGAACTGTTATATCGAAATGGCAATGCCATTTTGGTTTCTTTCGAAAATTATTCAATTCAGCCTGATATTTTATAATAATGGATGATAATTGTAATGATGATGAAGATGAACAATATGAATTCGAATAGACCATTTGAATAATTTTCAAAACAAAAAAAAATGACAGAAACAAAATATTTTACGAACTTTTCGATACAAAAATGATGATAGTTGTTTTGAAAACTAATAAACTAATATGCGTTTCAAAATGTAAATAGATGTGTCAATCGATGATGAGATGATGTATCGGTGAAGATTTAATTTATGGCAACAAAAACTTTTGAGAAAAAACTTGGATACTCAAGTGAGAAAATTCAAGGATATGATAACATTGTTTTTTGACCTTGAGTCGCTGATCCTTATATTTTCTCTCTTACTCACTCACTCACTCACTTTATTCATTGGTTGGTTCTATTTTCGACGAAAAAAAAACTTTATTTTTGATTCAAAAAATTAAGATTTTATCTGACCATTGATGACAATAAGCATAATAACAGAGGTGCCCCGGATCATCGAATTGTAATTCACCACGTAAATATCACCAGTAAAAAAAAAATTAGAGAACGTAATAAACAACAAAACAATGAGAACAAAAAAAAATCATCCACAATGAGAACGTTAACAATAGAAAATAGCTGTTGCTAAGGCTCTTGTAAATTGTAAACAATATCAATTACTTGCAACATATGAACAGACGTTTAGAATGAATTCAAATCAAACAGTGATGCATCGTATGAAAATGGTTTCAGTCATAATTCATTCACTATATATTGCGATGATAAGGAAATGCGCGCGCGCTTTTTATTTTATTTTTATATTCGAAAAATAATCGATCAATCAATCGATTTTGATGAATCGATCTTATTTATTATTATTATTATTATATTATTATTTTTTAATTCCAAAAATTTTCCTTCTAAATTAACACTGATCATTCCGATTCATTTCTATTCATGGGAATCCTTTTTTTTCATTTTAACTCATTTGACTGACAGCTTAATAATAGATAAGTTTTTTGTTGTTGTTTTTTTTGATTCTGATTGATTTAGAAACTGATTCTAGTTTTTTTTTTTTTTAGTGTTGTTGTTTGATCACCCTCATCACTATGATCGGAATTCAATCGGATAAATCGTTTCAATGAACATTTCAGCATCGATTAATTCATTTTAACAATAACATCAACAATGAAAAACAATTTCCTGTCCTCATTCCTTTTTTAAGAAAAGAATATCTGTTTTTTTTCCACATACATGAATATAACGTAAAACGTTGATTAAACCCATTCTGATCAATTCCATTCAAATAATCATCATTTGAAAATAAGATTTAAATTTGTGTATGTTAACGTTGCTTGAATGAATTTTGTCTTGAACACACACACACACACAAAATGTTACCATTTTTGATACGTTTTTTCTTGTTTTGTTATATAATTCATTGATGAAGCAAGAGTTGTATGATATTCTCATTCGAATGTATTTTATTTTTCTCTCTTGTTTTTATTGTTATTTTTTTCCTATTACTTGAATTGTAAATCAAGACATCGTGAACATGTCATATTAATTCTTTGTTCATTCGAAATCATTATCATCATAATGTGTATTTGTTTTTGGATCAACCCGACACACACACACACACACACATACAGAATCTTACCACACCACTAAAGAAACTGTATTCAAAGAAAACAGATAACATTTCCGCAAATTGAATTAATTTTATGTCGATTTGTAAGCAAGAATCACTGGTGATGGTCATCATCATCAGTGAGTATCATTAAGCACGGAATGTGAAATCAACAAAAAGTAACAAAAAAAAAATGTTATGTTAGGTTTTTTGTTTCTTGAGTTTGCATTCTTTTTCTATTTTCTGGTTAACGATTATAGTATTGAAAAGAATTGTCATCGTTAATCGAGACACTGCAATATTTTTTTTTCTTCTTTACATGACTTCACTGGATTTTTTTTATATAATCAAAAAATCATCCAATTTTTCTTTTGACCAAACTTGATTCGAAAGATCAGGTTTACAAAAAAAAAATTAGTATAGAAATGCATATTGGAAAACTTTTTTTTCCCCATCTCCATCTTGTACATAATTGCAATTGTCAATTGCAAAATGCATTAAATTATTACCATTTTTTTTTCTCTTGTTTCCGAAAATTGATTCTTGATTTTTTTCCATTTTAAAATACCAATTTTAAATAAATAAATAATTTCAAGTGATTCCGTAGAAATACAGAGAGAAAAAAATGATGCTGAGGGATAAATAATGGATTTTCAATTGCAACATTAAATTATAATGATGATGACAATTCTTTTGATCCATCATCATCATCGTTATTGTATTTTAAATTTTTTTTTTGTTAAGTTTCTTATGGATAAAAGTTCGATTATAGATTGAAATGATGATAGGCAATCGATGGTAAACGATTCAATTTTTTTCGCTATTTGCTCAATATTTTTTTTTTTTTTTTGTAAACAAACAAAAAAAAAAAAGAAAACGAATAACGCACACAATGTTTGTGTTTTTTAGTAGTTTGGATCGTATTATGGATCACTTTGCTTTGAAACAAAGTAATTGATTTTTGTTTTGTTTTGTTTTTTGTTCGTATTTTTGTTTTGACATTCCATGTCGTGTTGGATTCTGATTTCTTTATATATATTTTTTTGCTTATTCTTTCAAATGAAACGACAGATATATTATGGATAGATAGATAGATAGATAGACAGGCATACAAGATGTATTTTTTAAAAAAAGCATCCCTCTGAAAAATGATGATGATGATGATGATGATGATCCAAAATCATCATTTCTAGATTTTTTTTTCTTGTTTTGCCATTTTCCATGTTGTTTTTGTTCTAATACAATTCATTTCATTTGGTATTTCTTAGTTATAGAAATACAAAATTGTTTCATTCTTTCAACGTTTACAATACTTACAAACACACGAATCTTGTCAACAACTAAGCTAAAAACTATATTAGAGAGATAGAATCTTTTTCGACAACAACAACAACAAAAATGCTGTAGGATGATGATGATAAGTGACATGCCAACCGACACACACACACACACACACATTGACATCGTCAAAATATCAGCCAAAAAAAATCTTGATGGTGATGGTAATTGATAACCAAACAGCTATCCATCCATTCATTCATTCAACAATGGAAAAAATAACGGGAATAAAATGTAGACTTTACCGCCAATAACAACAATATCGTTGTTGTTGGAGATGAAAAAAAAATAAAAATATTTTTTCAAAATAATCAAATGAAAATGGTATATATATTCATATATTGTATATATGATTTCACACAAACACACATCACCGACTGATTTTTTGTTGGATAAGATTTGTTATTTTCCATTTCTAAATTATTTAACATATAAATACATGATGATGATTCACATAGCAACAACAATGGTTATATCATAGCAATAATTTGAAACTAATGATACAAAGCCAAAAAAAAATTTATATATAAACAATATTGATTGTTGAAAATGATTGATCTGGAATGAAATAATCGAAATGTCAATTACCGATTATGTTTTTTTTGCATTCATTCATTCATTCTAAAAATTTGAGAAGAAGATATCAAAGGCAACGTTGTATGTCCAATAGATTATTGTGGCGAGATCGCTACTTAAATTGTGTAAATGATTTTAAAAATTCTTTACTTAAATCAAAGATAGATGCTTGCAAAGAATTCTTTGCTTCTCTGGATAAGGATTCTATTTGGAAGAAAGCTTATCGATCTTGGAAAAAACCATCAATAATAAATCAAACTTTAAGGACCATTCAAAAAGATGATCCTAATGCCTCCTGGACTATCTCTTCGTATGATACAGCTTCCTTTTTATTGGGGAAATTTTTCCCTAATTTACCTAATGATTTGGATTCTCCCATACATAACTGGTACCGGTCAACAAGCATAATCGATAATGACCCAGAAATTAGTATCAGAGAAGTAAATTATGCTATTAATATTGAAAATGATGCTAAAAGCCCTGGTTGGGATTCCATTACAGCTAATATCATCAAAAATATCCATCTTCTTTATCCCACATTTTTCAATTCGTTATTTAACAAATGTCTTTTATATGGATATTTTCCTAAATGTTGGAAGAAATCAATTGTTAAGTTAATTCCTAAATCTAATGGTAATACATATCGTTCCTATCGTCCAATTTCCTTACTTCCGGTCATGGGGAAAATTTTCGAAGGTATTATTGCTCGTCGCTTACAATTTTTCCTTCTTTCTAATAAAAAATTATCTGGCAACCAATTCGGTTTCATCCCGCAGAAATCTACTGAACAAGCATTATATCGAATTAGCAATAAAATCAAAGCCATTTTTGAAAAGAAAAGTTTTGCTATTCTGGTTTCTTTGGATATTACGGGTGCGTTCGACTCGGCTCGTTTTGATCTCATTTTGGAGCAATTAAGACATTTTAACATTCCACCTAATTTGTATGCCATCTTATTCAATTACTTTTGTGACAGATGGGTGGAATTACCCCTTATTGGAACATCGGCCGTGAAACAATGCTCTGGTGGTTGCCCGCAGGGTGGGAAAATTTCCCCGTTATTGTGGAATATATTAATTGACAAATTGTTAAAATTGCCTTTGCCACACAATTGTCATCTACAAGCCTATGCGGATGATTGTCTGATTTTTTGTGAACATCCGAACGCTGATAATTGTACTTGGCTTGTTAATAATTGTTTAGAGATTATCTATGAATGGGGATTAGCCCATGGACTAACTTTTAACCCCTTCCAAATCGGAAGCTATGATTATTACCAAAAGAGAAAATTTAACATTCCATCGATATTTTTAAACGACCAGGCTATAGGACTTGTTCCTTATATCAAAATACTTGGCTTAGTCGTTGATTCGAAACTCTCTTGGAGCCATCATATCGATTATATTTCTTCCAAAGCTACTAAGATTTTCAATATTATTAAAAGAAGATTCGGTTCACTTTGGGGCTTGTCTTTTGATGTACTCCGCACCATATATTTACAGGCTATTGAACCGATGATCCTATATGCTTGTCCGGTTTGGCATAAACATGATATTCATTGAAAACAGATTCAAATGAAAAATTACGTTTCTGTTCATCGAATCCGTCATTTTGTGATGCGTATGTGATTGACATTTTTTTTGGCCATCTTTTTTTTCCACTAGTCATCAATTGAATTTTTTACATTCATAAATCCAAATTCGTATCGATGTATTGTGTAATCGTTGTTTG